GATGTAAGTGTCATGTTTTACTTTACATCAACTACTGTACTCTGTGTGCTGTAACATGATTAAAGTGTCATGTTTTACTTTACATCAACTACTGTACTCTGTGTGCTGTAACATGATTAAAGTGTCATGTTTTACTTTACATCTACTACTATACTCTGTGTGCATTAACTTTGATGTAAGTGTCATGTTTTACTTTACATCAACTACTGTACTCTGTGTGCTGTAACATGATTAAAGTGTCATGTTTTACTTTACATCTACTACTATACTCTGTGTGCTGTAACATGATTAAGTGTCATGTTTTACTTTACATCTACTACTATACTCTGTGTACTGTAACATGATTAAAGTGTCATGTTTTACTTTACATCTACTACTATACTCTGTGTGCTGTAACATGATTAAAGTGTCATGTTTTACTTTTCATCAACTACTGTACTCTGTGTGCTGTAACATGATTAAAGTGTCATGTTTTACTTTACATCAACTATTATACTCTCTGTGCTGTAACATGATATGTCAAGGACCAGTACATTTTGTAGCTACATTAATTGAAAGTTAATTTTTTCATTGGTTGATTCTAGAATTGTATAAAACAAACAAACTATTTTCATTTCTTTTATTAACTACATATTGCTACTAAGGTTAGTGATGAGTTATAATTATGGTTTTGTTTCTTCTTTGCAGGTTAAGTTTTGGTCACAACATATATCTTTCATTCTGGTAGGCGTTATTGTCGTGACCTCTATTCGTGGTCTACTCATCACCTTAACAAAAGTAAACTCTGTTTCTCAACTTATATGTTAAAATTGTCATCAGTAACTCAGTAGTCCTGAATTAATTATTAGTTATTTTATGCTGTTTCTAATGTTAAGATGTGTTGTTTTCTATTGTTTAAACAGATTTACAGTTTTTTGTCTGTTGATTTACAATATTAAAAGTAAAGTTTTTGATAAGTTTGTTTCTGCTGTGCACAGAAATAAATAAGTGTACTATTTTTATGTGTTTACATGTTTTATAGCAGTTAAAACTTGACCTGTATCTAATGGTATTATTTTCTCTAACAGAGAACTCCAGAGCTCAACTTCTATGTATGTTAGTTTCTCTTAACGTAGACATCCATAGTCTGCTGTTTTCTAAACTTCTCCACTTCTGTGTATGTTAGTTTATCTTAATGTATACATCCATAGTCTGCTGTTTTCTAAACTTCTATGTATGTTAGTTTCTCTTAATGTAGACATCCATAGTCTGCTGTTTTCTAAACTTCTCCACTTCTGTGTATGTTAGTTTATCTTAATGTATACATCCATAGTCTGCTGTTTTCTAAACTTCTTGGCTACATGTATACATTGGTTGATATCAGTAGTAATGATGTTTGTAATGAGATTGTGTTTCAGTTAAAATCATTAGTAATGATGTTTATGTTTCAGTTAAAATCATTAGTAATGATGTTTATGTTTCAGTTAAAATCATTAGTAATGAAGTTTGTGTTTCAGTTAAAATCATTAGTAATGAAGTTTGTGTTTCAGTTAACATCAGTAGTAATGATGTTTATGTTTCAGTTAAAATCATTAGTAATGATGTTTGTGTTTCAGTTAACATCAGTAGTAATGATGTTTGTAATGAGATTCTGTTTCAGCTAAAATCATTAGTAATGAGATTGTTTTTCTATTCCAGTTCTTCTATGCTATTTCTAGCACCAAATCTTCAAACATCATAGTTCTAGCTTTAGCCCAGATAATGGTAGGTGGCATTTCAAGTTTTATCACCAAATCATCAGACACTTTACTATTAGCTTTAGCCCAGGTAATGGTAACTAGTATTTCAAGATTTATCACCAAATCTTCAAACACTTTACTATTAGCTTTAGCCCAGATAATGGTAGGTTGTATTTCAAGATTTATAACTAAGTCAAACATTGTAGTTGTAGCTTTATCCCAGGTAATTGTAGGTGGTATTTCAAGGTTTATAACCAAGTCTTCAAACACTTTACTATTAGCTTTAGCCCAGATAATTATACGTGGTATTTCAAGGTTTATGGCTAAGTCAAACATTGTAGTTGTAGCTTTAGCCCAGATAATGGTAGGTTGTATTTCAAGATTTATAACTAAGTCAAATATTGTAGTTGTTGCTTTAGCCCAGATAATTGTAGGTGGTATTTCAAGGTTTATAACTAAGTCAAACATTGTAGTTGTTGCTTTAGCCCAGATAATGGTAGGTTGTATTTCAAGATTTATAACTAAGTCAAATATTGTAGTTGTTCCTTTAGCCCAGATAATTGTAGGTGGTATTTCAAGGTTTATAGCTAAGTCAAACATTGTAGTTGTAGCTTTAGACCAGATAATTGTACACGGTATTTCAATGTTTATCACCAAGCCATCAAACTTTGTAGATATAGATTTACCTTTTGGTTGGGGGATAACATTTGAATCCTCATGTTGGGACCCTTTATCAAATCCCAAAAAAGAACTAATGGAACTCGAAACAAGTCGATGTCAACATGTGATATAGGTATTTATACCAACCTTAAACATTTTCAGTGAATTATTTATTTTGGTACTGTACTGATGTAAACATTAAGTTGGCTGTAAACATTGTGGTTATAAAAACATTGTTTAAGATAGATTATTCTTTCTTTATATTTTGTGTCTGCACACGTTACCTTATTCCTGTGGACCTACTTGTTAATGACATTTGTATGAACATACTGGTGAAAACTTAACTAAGCATTATGTAAAAACTGGTTTAATTTAATTTTGCTTTACATTTTACTAATTTAAGCATTCCACTAACATTTCTTTATCAGTAGGCACAGAATTAAATATATTTAATTTTTTGATTGGCTCTTCTGATTTCACTTAACACAATAATTTATATTGTAGAGGGACTTAACATTGGATATGAGAGCAATATTTTAAAGGGAATAGGTACATTTGTTGTAAAATAAACCTATATTTCTTCTAATTACTTCACTGACAAACACTTCAGAAATCCTATTATTATTATATTTTTTTTAGTATCAGGAAAGTTGCCAACAGAGGTCACTTGAAAATTTTAAATTAATAAGAGTGAAATCAGTTAAATATGGATTTTAAAATGTGAAATAAATATCCATTGCATGTGATGTATTCTCCCAGAATATTCTGAGTTTGCCTAATTATAGTAGAGATCATGGAGGGAATTTTTTCTTGGTCTTGTTATGGTCTGATTGACAGAAGAAAAGCACAGAGCTGATAAGCCTAAAAAAAGCTAAAAACAAATAATTTTTAAAAGCCAACAATGTGTATAAAATTTGATAGATATGAAGGCTTATTTATTCCCAAAATAATTTTTTATGGTATTTATTCATTATTTTGGCAATATATAAATCCTTCATGTTTTTTTATGCCTTTTGATTGTTGAAGTGGTCATTTTCTATTTATTTTGAATGTGAAATTCTTTAAGTCAGTGAAATAATAGTAAGTAGACTTAGATAAGCGAATCAAGTGTTCTTCAGCCAGACGTTCTTAAAGAGGAACATTTTAAAATATTATAAAATACCTATTCATTGTATAGTCAGTTCCCTAAAACTTGGTCAAATTTGTATTTTATTTATGTTAAAGTGATACAAGTAGTTGTTATGTTGTTTTTTTGTGATTTTTTTGTACATATAAGTACATACACACATACCCATCCATACACGTACACAACTTAATTGCTTTAAACATAACAATCCCAGAAGTAGTGTTGAGGAACTTTATATAGTCCCTTAGGTTAACCCAAAAACTAATTTGTTTTATACCCTTATTTCGGATTATTGTTTATCAGAATGTAAACTACTTTCTTTATTCCGTAAAGCAATGTTTGTTGAGTGAAATTGGTTTAATACTGTTGTTTTATGATTGGCGTGTTTTACAGGGAATGTACTTTGTATCATCTGTTCTTCTTATGAGGATGAACATGCCTCCAGAGTACAGGTAAGTTTTATCGAAACTTGCTACGATAGTTTTAGGTAATGTGAGCAGTTCGACTCTAGTCCAGAATTGTTAGAAAACTGTTTTGATATTAATTTACTGCTAAGAAACCAAGTGTCTTATTGATAAATATATAATTTACTGCTAAGAAACCAAGTGTCTTATTGATAAATATATAATTTACTGCTAAGAAACCAAGTGTCTTATTGATAAATATATAATTTACTGCTTAGAAACCAAGTGTCTTATTGATAAATATATAATTTACTGCTTAGAAACCAAGTGTCTTATTGATAAATATATAA